GGTAGGGTTTTTCTAGCTTTTCTCATTAATTTAAAGAACAAGACCTATCGGTGGGTGGGTGGGTAGTTGTTGGTTTGTTTTTTGTTTTTGTTTTTTTTTTTGGGAAAGACGTTCTGAAATAAGTAAAAATAAAGCTTCTATCAAGGATCCAGCTTGGTGCTTTCTTCCAAAGCTGGTGCCGTTTGCTGTAGTTAGCAGGAAGTCTTTGCACTTTCAATTACACGCAGTCATGTTGTACACCTTTCTAGCATGAGGTTAAGAAGTCTAACTTTCCCATCTGGAACTGAAGGAGGAAAGCGGTGGGGGGGGGGTCTCCTTAAGAGGGCAAATAACCTTCAAGCAAGCTGTGTTTTTTGGGGGGGTTGTGGTTTTCTTTTGTGGAGAGGGATTGTTTCAGGTTTTTTCCTTTTAAAAAAAACTCAAAGGGACTTAATGGGAGGGGCGTTGACATCTATACACTTCAAATTCAAGACCTGAATTTGATGAAGGGTTGTCTTGAAACTATGAATGTAGACTTCAGCCAGGTACGGCAGGTACTGGAATGATTAATTCCACATGTGCTGCAACTACGTAAATATACAATGGTGTTTTATCTGAGGTGTTTCATGGCTTCTGACAGATTTTGACTGAACTGCCTCAAGTAAATTGTAATCTATACATGCAGAAACTTCTTAAGTATAAATTTAAAGAATTAAGGTAGCTGGTGTGAATTCTTGTCTCTTTTGACATCATCTTAAAATGACTGACTTGTATAAATAGGTCATGTTAAAATCTGATTAACAGGTGAGCATGTTCTTCCTGGGTGTTTGTGGTTTTTTTGGAGGAGAGCTGCTTTAGACTAACAATATTGCACATCTTCAGAGCCGAGTATCCACTTTGAGATGTATCAAGGTAGCCTGACAATAGCGTTAACACGTGGCTTCCACTGAAGGTTGAGTGAGGAATAAACCTCTGCAACATTGCTTTGGTTTACTGTGTGCCATCACTATAGCTACAACATTTCTATTTTTTTTAAATATTTAACTTAAATGCCACTTAGTGTTTAAAAACATTAGGTGGCAGGGACCAACCATTGCTTCCAAATAATCCTCTGGCGCCGCTACCTACAGCAAGTAATTTGATGAACCCAGGTTTTTAGGTTTTGTTTGGATTTTAACTCATTTGATATAATCATGACTTCTGCAGTTTTGATCTACAGTCTATGCTTGTGGCTCTGACGTACTCACATCTTGTTTCTTCCAGTAGCTCTTATTCCTAACATAAATCTATTGCTTAACAAAATTGCAGTAATGTATCGCCTTTAAAAAGATGATTTTTTGAGAGACTGAATTATTGAATTATATATTTGCCTTCTTTTAAGGGAACAAGTCGGATTCAGCGGATAAGCGCCAAGTCCTGTTTGAAGACGCCTGCACACTGGCAGAGAAGCATGGGCTCTTAGCTGTACTGGAGACATCAGCAAAAGAAGCTCAAAACATAGAAGTGGTGTTCACGTTAATGGCTAAGGAGCTAATAGCCCGAAACACCTTACAGCTTCATGGAGAGAGCCCTCCAAGCAGCATCTATCTTGATTCCAGGCCAGTGATTGCCAGTCCAAGCGTGGAGAAGACCCAGTGCCTCTGCTGAAGAGAGATTTCGGGAAGAACTTGAAAGCTGTCATCTTTCTGAGGCTGTTTGATTTAATTTTATTCAACTGATGAAAGTGTGCTATGTGGCCCCAAGCCATCTCTCTTGATCTCTCTACCTTGCAGTTTGGCTTGTAAGTATCTTCAGAGATTGTTGTTGGTAGCACAGGTTGCTTTGAACATGGCAGCTGATGCTTTAACATGAACTTCTGAGCTGAGAGGACTTGGCAAGCTGCCAGCCCTTGCCTTAACCAAAGAGAACTGTAAAAATTATTGCCTTCAATTATGTCCTTAAACGATTTTCTGGCTGCGTCGGAAAACAAATTCGCACCAGAGTTCTGTGTTGATTTGACCCTTCTAAGCTAAGCTATGTTCTTTGTTCTAGTGCAAGCACTTTAGCCTCTGCCAGTAGCTTTAGGAAGTCTGACACACAGTTGGGCAGCACTAACCCACTGCTGCTTAAACTGTCGTTTGGGGGGAAGTCATGATGTCAGGCATGTAGCCGCCCATGCCAAGGAACTTCATAACATTTGTGGGAGAGTGTATTGTTTCACATCTGTACCGACTTCCTCACCAGACAAACCTGGAGACGTCCCTGGGGCTTCATAGCAGGCAGAATGTGACACACTAGGGCGCCAACCTTCTTCCTGGGGCAAGAAGAGTTGTCTTTCACTGGTATCTAATTATAAGCATTGTTTCCAGTAGCGATCTCTGTCTTGCTCCATAGACTTGTTAGGTGTAGTGAAGCTTCCAAGGCACCAGTAATGGCCTAAATCAATGCTGAGTGAGAGGACTTTTTTTTTGTTTGTTTGTTTTCCTCCCCAACCCTGTCTTGCTTTTGATGTGCTGATTTTAATCAGAAGCCTTCTGTAGTTTGTGTGATGGGCCAATGGCAGCTTTAAAGTATGCCTGTAGGTTCTCAAGGGAGTGTGAAGCAGAGAGTCAAGCTCCTGTAGAACTCAGCAAGGACTAAGGTGGTTTAGTGAAGTAACCTCGCCTTGGAGCAGTAGGGGAATGGTATGGGGCATACCAGAAAGCCACCCCTAGGCAAGGGTATGTGCTACTGCTCTGGAGACTGACTGCCTTGGTAGCAATAGAAGGTTTTGTATTGCTCCTCCCAAACACAAGCTCTGCTGTTGGGGGCTCACTTCTGTGTACCAGAGCCAAGTACAGGGTTTAGGTTTTTGTTTTGTGTTTCTGTTTTGTTTGTGGCTTTTTTTTTTTCCCCCAATATTTTTTTGAAGAAAGAAATACTTATGCAGAGGAAGTTTTTTGACTGCAGTCCACAAGTACCAAAGTGCATCACTTAGCTTAACAGTAACTGTGAACTGGAACTCAAACTCTGTAATGATAAAATACAGTCTGGGTTTACAAAGAAGCCCTGTGAAGGCTGCTATGCTGGTAGCTTACCAGCTGGCAGTCTACTCTTCCCCCCCACCCCCCACCCCAAGAAAAAAAAAAACAAACCATGTAGCATTTTTCTGGAAAATCTTGTCTGAGAAGCACAAAAAAATAAAGCAGAATGAATCAATGATTCATAGTCTTGCAAATATTTCTCTTAGTGCTTCCTTTGGCCAGGTTCTTGGCTATCTTCTGGAAAATCTTGTCTGAGAAGCACAAAAAAAATAAAGCAGAATGAATCATTGATTTATAGTCTTGCAAATATTTCTCTTAGTGCTTCCTCTGGCCAGGTTCTTGGCTATTGCATGCAAAAAGCAGGCGTTAATCAGCCACTATGAACTGAGGGAGAAGTCTCCAATGCCAACCTCTAAGCCTTTTGCTATAGCCTGCTGTGGGGAAAGCTTAATCTTCTTCGGGCATCCTCTTTCTGATGTTTACTTTTTAAAATCTTAATTTTGTCTTGATTTGATACTAGCCTAGTAGTTCCATTTCAGTTTGCCTGTTTCAGCAACGGTAAACACTATAACCTTCTGAAATAGCTAAACAAGTAGCAATCCAAACAACTAGTTTCTACACTCTTGTCACTAGGAAAACTGTCAAATGTAAGCTTAATATTCTTGTGTGTTTAAAATCCAAACTACTCCTGGTGGTAGTTTGTAATGTAGCAGGTTTTACTTTTTTAGTATCCACACTTCTAGCAAACTTTGTTCTATTTCAGATGTACCAGAGATAGTATCTGCAGCAAATACTAATCTTCCAGGAGACCTTAATAGAAAAGTATTGTGTTCAGTTCACTCTTTCATTAGCCAAAAATTAGAGGAAGGATCTTACCAGCAGAGTATTAACCTTCATACGGTACACTGGGTTTACTGCCTTAATTAGAGATTACCGTATGAAGTTGTGCTTACCCTCAGTATGGAGGCTGGTGCTCCCTTACTGCCCAGCCCTGCCAGGTTAGAGAGCTCTCTCTTGCCATCCTCCTCCAGCAGGCACAGAGCCACTTGCAAAATCAGTCCTTCAGCGGCAGAAAGCTGCGCAACACGGGATCGGGGGGAACAGGCTCGGGGTTGCGCTTTGAGCTGCACTGTTCCTTTTAATAGGACAAAGCACAGGCTCCTCACTACTCTTCCAAGAAACTAGTCTTAAATACCTACCCCCTTGTGCCACTAAACCAGGAGCGTGACTTCTTTTGGTCGGTTCTGTTCAGCACCCCTCACAAGCCCTCTGGGCAGTTACACTCAATAGTTTCCACAGGGTCACTTTTTTTTTTTTTAAGCTGTCCTCATGTGAATGCAGAGCAAGCTGTGGCAGTTGCTAACAGGAAGATTCTTCAGAGTATTAGCAGACAGTGGGATTCATGAGGTAATACATGAAGAAAGCTATAAACCCTTTGTTAGAGCACATTGTTCTAGACTGTAAGATAGCCACTGCTAGATTAAAAAACTAGCATGCTGTAACCCCTTTCCCCATCACAGAGCAGATGGAAGCATGTGGCTATGACAATGCAAATAGCATTAACTGCTATGGAATCTTATACTAATGCTTTTGTTCCCCCAGCATCATATGCAAATTCAACGTGCTTCTGGTCAGCACCATTAACGCACTTGTGGAAAGTGTAGCTTACTGTAATGTTGCTTACAAGGCTATTCTAAAACCTGCTACTGTCCCACAGTTTTAAGAGCTGTACATCCAGCTTGAAGATGAGCTTATGTTAAATTATGACCTACTTGGAAGAAGCATTTGAATCTCGGCTGTGGCACGTTACTTGCATTGAGATCACAGCCACACCAGATGAGACGGAAGCAGCACCTATCCACAGAACAGAGCAACAAAAAAAAAAAAACAAACCTAGAAGTATTCCAAAATGGAGCAAACCGACACCTCCCAGAAGCTGACTGGCTTACAAGCAAACACAGCTGCAGCCCAGGGACATGGCAGGCACATGGCGTTCCCTATGTGGTCAAGTTTTTCTTCATACATGGGGGACAGGCTCTTAATAACAAAAGGTGAGGTTCTTATCTAATCATTCCAGTTAATGTTTAAGTATAGTTGGAAAGGAGACAGAGAAAGCAATTTTCAGGCCCTGAACAGAGACAGTGAGCTCTGTCCTGGAATGTGCTTTCGGGAAGGAGATGCATGCCTATGGGGAACTGAAACTGGAGCTTCCCCCCGCCAGGTGAGTGCTCTAACCCCAGCACTGTTTAAAGGTGCCCCTTCTAGCTGCAGGCTGCCAACAGGCAGATTTTAATATATCCCAGTTCCCAGAACACTGCTTTTGGCTGCAGGTGGGGGGGCTTTAACACTCGTTCTTTGGTGTGCTGACTCCTGAGGCCATTCTCAAGCACCTCTCTCAAGCAAGCATGTCAAGGACTGGAGCTACGACAGGCAATGCTGGGATATCAGAGTCCTTTGAGAGTAGTTTTAGACAGGCCAAGAGCCACTTCTACCTAAGAGTACTTCAGCTTTTAATAGGAACTTGCAGTTCAAGAGAGGTAGGACTGTGAAGTCTTTTAAAGCACTTTTTCTAGTGTTGTTATTCTAAAAATCAACCTTAACTCAGCTGCCCGCACAGGCTCTGCCTACACAATCACATCAAGCTGTTGCCAAACAGGTGTTGACTCTGGCTTGACTGCAAGTAACAAACAGCACACCCATGGACAACGGTAACAGCAGGAGCTCAGCATATAGGCAACCCCACGTTTCCTTGCTACAGCTTGTGCCCATGAATATCGCTGCTTATTATGGTTTTCACTGCCAAGTCTGTCCAGTTTTGCTTACCTGAAGCGAGGCTCAGCACAACTACAGTTTAACAATGACGCTTTAATGGTGGCATTAGAGTAAAACTGACCTCATAGCAACTCTATCCCTACAGCACAGTCAGTCCTGCATCCTAGGAGACTACATGTGGATTCCCTCGTTTGAAGCTGCAGCAGCATTCATGATTCCATCTATCCAAGTTTTGTTCCAAACATGAGACAAACCTCTCACTACCCTCCAAACAGAAATCTATTTTGTACCTGCTGTAGCAGGAACAAGTTACTTTGTATTGCACTGAATGAACCAGGCATTCCCTCAGCAAGATTACAAACACCGTGGGCTACAATAGGGGAAGAGCTAAAGCAGCAGAGGTTGCAAGAAGTACTCTTAGCTTCTGTGATCGCATTCAGACCGATTAGAATGGGCAGCACTTACTTTGCACTTACCACAAGATGCAAAATTTTGTATCAAACCAAACATATATATTCTTGCAGAGGGAGTAAAGTCAAGGCACTTTAAGTGAGAGCATGCATCTTTTTCTGAAGATTTTTGTTTAGAAATCAAGATTTTGCTGATGGAAGCTTATAGAGTCTTTATACCTTTTTCATCTTGACACTACTCTCATTGGCCTCTTCAGTTTCTGCACCTTAGGTGTTTGCTTAAAGAAAATATAGCACAGCTTAAGTCGTCACCCTCCATATTTTTTACATTAAAAGTTTGCCTTAATTCTACTGAATTTATTCCTGTTCCTGTAGAGGAAAAACATCACAGCCTACTACCATACTTTACTCATTTTAAGGTCCCTACCCTTTTTAGTCATTCCAGTTTGGGGGGGTAAGGTGGGGGGGTGTGGAAATCATAGTGCAACAGCAAGCTTAGACACAGGCCTACCGCCAGCAAGACTCAAACTGGAAGCGACATGCAGCAGTACTGCCTGCTGACAAATACATGCAGTTCTTCAGCTTCGCAGAAGAACCACAGCGTGCTTCAAAGCAAGAGATCAACACAAACTACTTGTCACGATGCACCTGACTACATCAGCCACCTTGCAGCTAGACAGAACAGCCTCCCCCCTCAAAGAAAATCACTTATTTGCGTATTCTCAGCTTCCCGCGTAGCGCGTACAGAAGCAGAGCTTAGAAGCAGCAGCACCCACCATTCCTGCATGCCATTTCTGACCCTTTATGAAGGAAAACTGATGGCTGTGCTCTGGCTGCTAAGTTTATTACTTTTTTCCATCTTGCCAGAACACATTTTTGTTAGACTTCTCTTTGAATGCAGCTTTCCAATAGGATGCTAACAACTTAAATATTCACCATGGAGGGGAGGGACAGGCCAGTTTTACCCCAAAGCCTTTTATTTTTTCTGTCTCTCCCTTTATCAGTTTTAAATGTCATTTGCGCAAATAACCTTCAAATCCTTTTCTCCCTCTGCTACTTGCCCCTGGGGAAAAAACCCCAAACCAACCAACCAACGATGGTTTTAGACTGTTCAGTTAAACTTTACTTCTTAGTCCTATCCCTCAGCATCTGAATACGTTCCTAGTAGTTTACTTCCAATTGTAGGTATTTCTGCAGAAGAATGCTTCTTTCTCAACACACATAGCCTTAAAGCAGCATGTGGATTTTCAGGAAGCGGCCTGGCCTGCAGCAATGCTTGGACTTGCTGTCCAAACAGCATCACGACAGGAAACTATCAAAATAGAACATGTACTGTAATTGACTTTGTTCAGGACCAACAAAATGAATACCATAATGCAGAACTTACTTCTGAGAAAGCAAGCCACGTCTGTTCCCACTAATGGCCCCATACATTCTTTCAACAGTTCAATTGTCTCAGCTGTCTGTTCAGAATGCGTTCCTTACGTTACAGGGTCTTTGCTGGAAAGGTTGTAACAGAGTTAAAATTCCGTATTAGCGTGACACAATTCTGCAGGAGTTAAGAATAAGTGACATAAATGCCTTTATATTTACAGGAGCGCACACACACAAGTAATCAAGCAAGCTGAAACACAGAAGCTTCAAACTTAAAAAACCAGACAGACTTCTTGTTTAATTTTTTTGATTTTTTTTTATTTGGGAAAAGTGCTTCTTACAAAAGGCAGCTGCAAAACAATACGTTATAGACCTCAGAACAATTTCTCATTCCATTTAAAAGTGAAAGGAGAGGCAGTCTAGGGGACAAGAGCAGCAGGAGAACAGATCAAGGGGCATCCACGAGTCAATAAAAAACAGCAATAATGTAATGCAAGGTTAAAATTCCTGTGCTGGGGCTTTGGTGGCAAAGTAATTTCTCAATGCAAATTACAGCCAGAAACTGCATGACTGCCTTTGTAAGCAGTAACTCACATAAACTGAACAGCTTTACCAGGCAACCTGCCCAGCTCAGATGCTGAGAGGCACAGCGATTTCCTAGCGAAGCTCACGGCTTAAGTGGTTACATCAAGTTCTAAAACTTGCAGAGCAATAAAGCTAAAGGGGCCTCTCTGGTGTTCCTCTGACCCCACCTTGGCTAACTGATTTCTGCTCCTAGACAACCCTAACCATACACATGAAAGAGAGCTGGTGTATTAGGGAGTGCCGTCTACTAAGTTAAGCAATAGTTAAGATCACTGCCGCAGACTACTGGGCCGAGACCACTAAACCAGTTTCATGTCCAATTGGAGGCTAGGCTTCATGCACCAAGAGGGGATGAAAGATGGTTTTGTTATTTTTAACTTACAGAGTCTCCCCATCCTTGAGGTCCAACTCTACATTTATCTGTATATACACATAGAGAGTTCTCCTTTCACAAAGACATTTTCCTTTCATGCTAAACACAGTAAAAACCCAGAACGTTCACACCTGGTTCTGGTTACACAGTAGTAATAGTAATGTGCAAGTAAACAAGAGACCAAAATCACAAATGAAGACGTGTACATGAGGGGGCTGGAACGGAGCTGATGCCAGAAAGAGAGTATTTGTATCTGGCCTGAAGTCAGAAATATTGGTACAAAGACAGAAAAAAAGGCCATCAGCCAATTTACATCCCCACTGCATGGCCACTGCTCATTTTTGTATCTGGGCTCTTCAAAATGAGTGTGGAAGTCCTGTAAACACTTTAACCCTGGAACTGGGTGAACTCTGTTGGGTACACAGATGAAGCAACAAACCTAAGCTAACTGTTTGACAGTTAAATTCATTTTTACAAAAACTAACATTTTAAAGATTTATTTCTTGTTATTTGTTTAAACAGAGGAAAAACAACACTCCTGGGGTGGGAGGGGATGGGAAGAGACAGACCCTGGGTAAAAGTTATTACAACAGCACCTGGAATTGATCGGCCTGCCTAGGAGAAACACAGGCACTGCCACAACACCACAGGTAATAGCTACTGCCTGAAGCCAAGATGACAGTCCACACTCCACTGACAGGTGCTATAGATCCAAGTCATAATAATCTTCCAGCTCATCATGAAACAAGTCCCACTCATCCTCGGAATCTGTTAGCTCATCGTCACCTCCTGCTGCCAACAGCATAAGCAACATCTCACCAAGCTCAAAGGTCACCACCTCATCCTCGTCAGTCTCGAACGGGTCACCGTTCTCTCGCTCCTCAATGAACTCCCAGAATCGATTCCTCCGCTGGGCCTGCAAGTGGAACACAAGTATTTCCCCAGGTGACCAAGCAGTACAAGGTAGGAGTCTTCCCCAAAGCTGATGAGGTTCAGCCCCTGGCATACTTTTGACGTGCAAGAAACCATGTTTCTCTTTCAGGGAGATACTGACCTCCAGCAGAATTTACCCGTACACACCCCTATTAATGCTGCCCAACATTTCTATGTTGGTGAACTAGGAAAGTTTTTAAAATTCACTCCTTCCATCTTGGTCTCCAGCATTCACAAGCTTTAGACCACCGCCTCCTTCAAATTCACCACTACAGAGGTCTATCAGAAGTAAAAAAAAAAAAAAAAAGTCAACTTTTCCCTGCCCTCTTCTCAAGGCAGCTGATTGAACGCACACCCCTCTTAAGTTCTCTCTGTATAGAAAGGACAAAAAAAAAAAAACAACAAAAAAAAACACAAAACCAGCAGCACTGACCCGGTATCTACTTGATGTTCCCACTTTGGGTCTCTGTGGCTCCTCTCGGCGGCCATCAGGATATGCATGTTTGTAAAAACAGTTCCCTCCAAATGGACAGCTCCCACGGCCTTCGTCAAAATACCTGCATGGCTTGTTGCTGGAAAGGAAAATACCGCAACCCTTACTCACAGCAGACCCCAACCAGATTTCAGACTTGCATTTACCTGCAGTCCAAAAGGATCTCAGGTACCATCTGGAGCTGAAGGTATTTTGTCAGTATGACACCTACACGCAGAAATGATGCATTACACAATGTGTGTGGGTCCATGCATGCATAGGGACACTGATGGCTCGCAGTGCACAAGCTCGTACTACCTTATGGCTACACCACAAGCGCTTTGCGTATAGAAGGGAAAGACTGATGTCAAAGAAATAGGAACAGTTTTACAACTGTGTGGTTGCATGCATCTGTGGGCAGATAGGCAAGGATACACTTCACACGTGGTGGTGGAAAGGAGGTGTGAGAGGGCTTTACATCAACACCCTTCTTCTCCAGGTGCGCCTTTATCTCTCCTGTCCCAACCTGACAAAAGGCTGCAGTGCTCATACCTCATTGCCTCCTTGTATTTCTGAATGAGTTTCTGCTTCTCTTCCTTCTCCTCCACCCAGTACTCACTTGGAATGACAAAGTTAGATGTGATCCGACATTCTGGGCAGGACCTGGGGAATGAACAGACTGCGCTGCAAAATTCCACATTACAGGGCGCTCTCTCTCCTATATAACAAGTCATGGCATATATCCATCTTTAAAGATGTATAGTACCCGCACACGTGCTGTACAGGCTTTTCAATCTAGATTCTCCCTTACACATGAAGATAACCTAAACTCTCTTCTTTAAGAGCTCAATGGCAATGGCAGCTGGTCAGCTTGTCTCAGAAGAGCTTGAAAAAACACTTCACACAGACTCCTTTTTCTTTAGAATTAAATAAATTTATTTTTGTTTGACTTCTGCATTTATTTGATTGGAACTTTGTCTTTTTTAGAACAGCCTTTAAATGGAGAAATGTTCTGTCAACTGATTAATGAACTAGGGCGGTAATGAATTAAGCAGCATACATTCTGAACTGGTTAATCTGTTTTCAGATTCCTGGCTGGGTGTCCAAGACAAACAGTAACCACTGGACAACATGCTAAATAAATGAAAGTTATTTTCTACCGTTAAGTGAGTATTAACCAAATCAGAGTGTAAATACTATCCCTAACAATTATTTCACTTCCAAACTGAAGTTAGTATGCATTAAATGCAGTCTCTGTGCAGTCTACATCTGGAAGTCTGTTGCAAGTTGTCACAAGTTACTAAGTTCTTCGATAGTAACAAAGCAGAATCTAAATGGGAAAGTGCCTCACTTTATAATCTTGCTCTCAAATTGTTTAGCACTCCTCCACTTGCGGATGCACTTGAGACAGTAAGTGTGGCTGCAGTTGGAGAGGATCCCAAAGCGGCGCTCACTAGGATTAGCTTTCTCATACACCACCTCCATGCATATCCCGCACACCATGTCTTTACTACGCTGGACGGCAAATGAAAGCTCCATGTCCTTCTCGTGAGCTTCAATGCAAGACTGGAAAGGAGAGACAAAGAAAACGGCTACAGAGACAACTGGTCACCTCTAAGCAGCTTTTTAAGCTCAGTTTTACTCTGCTGTTTTGCATAATTAATGGAATACGATTAAGCTGAAAAATCTTTTTCCCCAAAAAACATTTTCTCAGCTAGTGGGGAACCATCAATTCAGAGTTCAAACTCCTTTCTTCAGACATTGCTTTTAAACATAAGAAAGGCAATCTAAAAGACCATCCAGTTTTACTAGGCAAAGAACAAAGCTTTAGTATCTTTAAGCAGACTGCTTTCCCAGCACAGATAAGGAAACCCAGCTGCTTTTGGATATGGCCCTGACAGGAAACAGTCCAGTTTACAACAGGAATTTCATTCGCTGCCTGACCTGCATGCATCTTCAAATGAAAGGGAATTAGTGACAAGTGATTATGGGGAGCTAGGAAGCAATAACTTACAGCTGTTTAACACCAGACAGTTGTTTGCTTACCTTTATGTGCTGGGATCTCTGTGCAGCATCAATCGGATGCAAGACCTGCAGTCCACACATATCGCACACATCCCCATGGATATACACGCAGTTTTCTCCATAACGACATTCTCCTACTGCAGCATAGGGGCACAGCTCCTTCTTTATCTCCACATCTACTTCCTGCTTTTCGTATTCTTCCTCAATCACCATTTCCTGCAAGGGTGCTTCAGTGCAGGAAGGAGCAGCTGGGAACAAAATTAAGGACAGTAAGCAATACATTCAGATTTAGAGCATTGGGAGTGAGAATACATTGTTTAATAATAAAAACAACCAAGGTTCGTTTTCATTCCAAGTTTCACACACCCTCAACCTGAACTAAGTTATTTTCCCACTCAAGAAAGCACAACCAATTTCTTCATCCTTCAACCCCGACAAGACTAAAGCTATCAAGCTTTCAGTGGCCAGATTCAGTTCCATTTACAGGTTAAGTCTGCACTAGAAAATCTCACTAGTCCTCAGCAGCTTAAGCGCATTTTTATACAAACTCTAGTTCAGTAACAGTTAGATAAGGTCACAAATCTCTCACTGCTTTGAGGATCAATTTCACACCAGCTTTTTTCCCAGCAGTTACAAAGCTGAAGCAATAAAGGTGTATCCAGCTAGTACGGAAACACACCACCAGCAGTTCCTTATGTGCAGGTTAATTAGCATGTTGTTCAGCCTGAACAACAGACTTTCACTTCAAGACTCCTATGCACCTGTATGAATGATACAAAAGCTGCGTCCGCACCTCTCACAGAACTCTAAGTATTTGCCCAAAATGCTATCCTAAACAGATATCCAGTCTATCAGTCAGACACATAAACCTAGCTTTAAAAAAACCGAAATTCAGGGCATTTTCATTGCATTCTAAGCTAGTCATCAGTTTTGGAAAATCCCGAGTAAGTAAATTCCCTTACCTAATTCTAAATTTAACTGAAATCTGTACAATTTCTCTTCCCCATTTACACAGCTTCTGCTTAACACTCCTCCCTGTACCTCTTGAACATATGCTTGTCTGTGTCACCACAAGCCAAACAGCCTTCTGAGATCATAGGCATAAGATGATAAATCAAGTTACAAGACAAAAACAGTCAGTTTAAAGATATAATAAACACAGGAGAACAACAAAGCATTACTATATTCAGCATAAAAGTCAGGAAGAACAGCAACTGGACTTAATTTACATAACCAGTAGCTGTTACAAGAGTAAAAAGTCACCTGTGCTGTAAGAAAATCTAACTTTTATAAGCTGTTCAAGCACTAGATTTGGAGAAGTAAGCAAAAACTGTTAAAAGGCATACTTGGATCAGTAAAAGTAAAGGACAGACTCCTCAGAATCAGAGGCTGCACGCTCACAGTGTTTTCATCCCCATGGAGCACAGAGATACAAAAAGCATTATCAGCCCGTTAGCTTTTGGGTTTATAGAAAAAAAGAAAAAGCAGGCCCCTGAGAGGTCACAGTTTAGGGGGATAAGCAAATATTGAAATATTGAAGATTAGAGTTGGGAAGTATTAGCCCTCAAAATAAATTCAAGTCTGCTTCTTGAACCATCTCTGACTTTAGAGGTCACCCACATTGATCTTGGATCAGTCTGTTTGCTAGAAACATACTTTTCAAAAGCAAGTGAGTGACAGAACAACAGATCAACTGTCAACCTGCTCTTTTTTCAGTAAGAGATTCCTAACAAAAAAAAAAAATCTTTTATTACTACTTCTTCCCCATGAGTTCTAGTGAACTGGCACCAAGCAAAGCAACAAGTAACCATATACTAGGCCCCACCTACTGTTCTGAGTAGCTGAACATACTATGAAAATTTGTACTTACTAATCGAAATCCACCCATTTGAAACCCATGGTCTCCACTTCCAAAAGAAGTGACAAAAACCACAACTACCAGTCAGTTTCTATTCCCTCTCCTGTCATTTTTGCCAGTGTTTTTTCTAGTTAATATTGTTACAGATTTATTACCTAGTTGATTCACGTGACTTCTGACATTTCATTTGACCCTTACTGAGGAAGGGCAGTTTAGTATATCATAGTATGGATAAGCAGAAGCCTGCTAGACAGACAAATGCAGCTGAGTTTCACAGGAGTAGTGTGATACAGTACTCTTTTAATGGGGCTGGCAAGATGGTCTTTGCTTAAGGCAATCCCATCCCTGGAAAACGCATAGTCTGAAAAAAGAGAGGCACATTTGAAGCTTCTCTTAACAGAAAAAATTTCCAGTCACCTACACTCCTCTCAAGGATATCTTTTGCCAAAACTTTATTCAGTAAGGGGTGTATTCATTAAAAAAAAAAAAAAAACCCAAACCCAAAAAACCACCACACAAACAAACCACCAAAACAAAACCACTTATTACTTGAGGTTCTTGGAGAATAAAGGCTTTGAAGTCTTGTCCCCTCAGACACTGACTTAGAAACCCATTTATTTACTACACTGGTCCACAGTAGAGCATAGACCTTCACATCTTGGCACAAAAAAAGTACAGAGTTGTTACTTAAAACAAACCACCACCTACTCAAGTCAACAAGCACAGTACACAGCACAGCTACTAAATTCCAGCCCAGTCCACAAAACCATCCTTGCACAAAAAAGTACAACCAGTTCTTAGTGACCAGACATCTAGACAACAAGATACAGATGTATGAATGTCACTCTTCAATAACGACTCTGGGTATTTCTACAGTATGACAGGGTGGGAGCAGGAAAAACATGTGCTAAAAGTGACATTAGTCTTCCAGTCCCAGTTTTCTGTGCTGTCCTGGCACTTCCCTTCAGTGAGAGCTGTATTTCTATGAAATAAAAATTAAATTAGTATTTCCACTTCTGAGTATCTCAGCTTCTATAACCTAAAGCCCTGCATGCATATCTCCTGTATCTACTGCACCGTATCTGCTACACTTTTGCTTCCTCTGTGAAAGCAAAATTAGAGGAACTCACAAGACTCCATTGCCTCAGTAGTTAGTAATATCCCCCAAAGCACCATTTACTCTCTACAATTGTTTTCAGTTTTCAAAACCACTACTCTCCAGTAGGTGGACCCAATCCCTATCTTCTCACTGCCCTTTTCACAGTCAACACAGTTAAATTCACACTCGTAAAAAAAATAGTTCGTTACCTTCAATCCACACACCACCTGCTTTCACTCTAGGACATGCTTTGTAGCATCAAGTACATTCATTTTATAGCAGCAGGAAGCAGCCACCGAATTCAGTGTCTCTTACATTTCTGCCTCTACCCTCCCTCAATTATTCCAGAACATCCAGCAGCAGTAGCAACAGAACAAATACAGAAATGTGGTGCACCTATACATCAAACAAGTGAGTATCTGAAGGATAGTCACTATTGTCTTTGCTAGGCCCTGAGGTCATCTTGAAGAAATCTGGTTTAGCCCCAAATCAGAGAATCATCCGCACTAGCAAAATGGCTTATCTCGTAGTAAGAGATGAGCATTATAGCCCAAGCTACGCGTGGTTAAACTGTCAACCCTGAGTCTTCAGCATTTGTAAGCCAATTTAAAACACAGGCTTCTAGCTAATCTTGAGAAATAGATTCCATTTTAAACTTTTCAAGTACCTGTACATTTCTCCAGGCATATGACAAGAGTAATGTGTAAGGCTTTAAAGTATACACTGTTGAACACACTGCACGCATCATCCTGATGACTACAGCAAGGTTCTTTATTTTTAGAGCTTAATAAAGACAGTGGATTCAAAAAGTAAAGTTTTTAAAACACAGCTTTTAAGAAGTCACCATGGGAATTAGCATCATGTGGCACTGTTCAGAAGAGAAACAGCTAAGCGTGCATGTTAAAATACATCAAATTTCAAAGGATACAAAACAGAGAATTTGGAATAAGATTCAGAGAAGAGAATGTTATTTAACTTAATGCTGTGGCACCCATGAGTTTCCATGAAAAATAACCCTGACCCCATAAAAAAAAAAAAAAAGGAACTGCTTCAGTAAAACTAAGTGATTTAAAGATATAATAAAATGCTCTTATGCTTCAGGATTTAGGAGAAAGCACCAGCTCTCCTCTAAGGAGTAAGTGTATTTAGAAGACCTCCAGCTGGTTAAATTGGCAATGAATTGATTCCAGTGGAGGACTACCCAGCTATTACAGGAACTGAAGCACATGAAAAACATGAAAAGAGACTGAGGAAACTGGGCTTGTTCAGCTTAAGAAGGTATCTCATTGCTATACTCACCTACCTAATGGAAAGGTATAGAAAAAAAAAAAAAACAAACCACAAACCCAGAACCAGACTCTTCTCAGAGGTACACAGGACAAGAGACAGAAGGCAAGCTGAGGCAGGGAAAAATCCAATTACATAACAGGAAACAGTTTTTCCTTGTAAAGTGTCAAAAACTGCAAAGGTTGCCTGGAGGTCATGGCATTTTGAACATCTCCAAGGATAGAGATTTAACTAAACAAAGCCCCTGGCAACCTGACAAGGCTGACCCTGCTTTAGGCAGGAAATGAACTAGATGAAATCTAGAGGTCCCTTCCAGTCTAAATTATTCAATTTTGATTAAAAGAATTAAAAAAGGGATCCTTTGTCTCAATGAACAGAGAAGGTCTGTCTTTTATGACAGTAAGGTGACATATTACAAGGTAGAAGAAAAGTTTTCATTCCTTTGGACTATACCAAAGTCACAGATACACCAAACTATTCCATAATCAAAATTCTCAACAATGCTAGAAAAATGTTAATGTTGCTCAGCCATTCCCTTCCTCTTCACCCTTCCTCAAATCAGATCAGAGCAGACTCCAGCAGCACCCTGTAATACCAGAAGGTATGACAACTTCAAACTCTTCTGGACACAAGGTGTCCATTTTGGATTCAAACAATTATTTGAGTACTTACGGCCATAAGCCTTCAGTTTTAAAGAGCCAAGTATTAGAAATTATGCTGAAGTAAACACATTCAGCCTACTTAAAATTTTGTCACTTAAATTTTAAGGCTTTGTCTTATCTTCTCTGCAGGGAAAGCAGATGACAAGTATGCTACTTAAAACAATCTGGTCCAACACTATGAGCTTCTTCAAACTCATCCTCAACATAAGCCATCACAGTATTAGGAAGTCAAGTCTCAGAAAGGTAACTAGAATAAATGATTTTCAGCCTCTGGTCTAAACTGCCATGGGATTCATGAAAGCAAGCATTAGGCTTCAATTCATTCTACAAGAATCTGTACCTCCACTGGAAAACCTTTAAGAGATTTAAAAAAAAAAAAAAATCCCCCAAACAACTTCCCTCCCAAAAAAAGGCAGCAGGTTATCTTCCCAGGTAGTGATATTAGTTGCACCACCAGTATTTTCTTCTTCCATCACATATGCAAACTAAACTTCAAAGAAGGAGATTCACAAAGTCATTCAGAGCCATAACAAGAGGAAGCCAGTTATGCAGAGACTGTCTTTAAACGTAACTGGTTTCAGAACATCAGGACAGCAGTATTAACTAATGTGGAACGGTCCAACTATTCGCCTCAGAAAATTCAAGCGTAACTTAAGGACAGATCACTTGATTAATACGAATAGCTGTATTTAACAAACCAAAAGCATTAAAATAAAATGCGCTACATATAAAATGTTGACCCATGACAAATTTACTGTTACCCCATGATCAGCTTACCACGTCCACAGTATGGCTGCCCAGGGACAAACTCTACAGCATTCACCCAGTCTTCAGCACCTACTCCTGCAGCTACCAGATCTGCATTTTCATCTTCTATCTCAGCAATAATTTCTTCAAATGTTTCAGGGAGCAATGCGAAGTCTGATGATACTGAGGGATAAATTTTTGCATCTGGATCCTCATCAGTCATTTCTTCCTCTTTCAGTGGCTTGGTATGTTCATATCTAAAGTTAAAACACATCATGTCAATTCTTCACAAAAAAAAACCCACCAGCAGCTTGATGAATTGGAAATAAACTAATCAAGAGGTAAACATGCTATTCCGAAGAACAACCTAGACACTACTTGAAAGAGAAAGCCATTGATGACCCTTTATAGAGACATGCTTCCACTTGTGCCATCTGTCAGCACTGCTTAAGGAAACAGAAGGTGTCCGGAGGAAATGGAGAAGCATGCACAATTCTTACTTAACTTACATAGAATGAACTTCAATTACATAATAGGTACATGACCAGTTTTGGATGTATGTGCAGTATTACTGAAGTAAGTTAGTTCCATCAGCTTTAAAAAGGAAGACTAAGGGCAGACGCTGCTGTCTTCAACTACCTTGTGGGAAGCCACAGGAAGAGATGCAGCCAGAGTCTTCTCAGAGGAGCAGCAATAGGATGAGCGCCATCAACCACAAGTCCAAAATGGGAGGTTACAATTAGGTATTAGGAAAAAAAAAATCACTGGGAGAATAGTCAAACCCAGGATCAGGTGCCCAGAGAGGCTGCAGAATCTTCATCCTTGCAGATAACCAAAACCTGACTGGACAATGCCTTGTGCGACCTGACCTAAGCTGTCTCTGTCTTCATCATGGCTCCAGAGATCCCCATCAACATAAGTGATTCTTTTTCTGTATCTGCGCATCTTGCCTCATTCAGATTTTACACTGAATTTTAGTAGTTATTTCTAATGCCTCTTTCAACTTACTGTGGAAAATGATGCTCAGAATGCTTTGATCCCTACCACCCACAAACAACAGGAGTGCACCATTTCCCTGAGAAATAGGTCTTCCAGCAACTAGTAGACTACATGGAAAAATAAACTTCAGGAATACCTTTGAGGTTTTAGATATTTGCTGACTAATTTCAGGGACAAAGGGAGGGAATTTTTGGAGATCAGACAAAACTTTTAAGCAAATGTAATTCATTTGCCTCGTGTCAGGTTGAAAACAACAAAGTGTCACAGTTCTCACATATTAAAGAGATGCTCCCAACTGAATGTCAGCTTTGAAATCCTCAGGAAGCTATGAAGCACAAATTTAAAAGTCAAGGCTCCAGACCTCTACACCAATGGTCTCCAAAGTGGTATGCATTCACCCTAGAGGGTGTGCCAGACAATCCACTGGGGTGCAGGAAGAAAATACTAGAAGTTCTTGTCTTTTTTATTTTTTCCTAAAAAAATAAGAAACTACGTTTTACTAATATATGACATACAGATTGACAGCAGTGTCCTTACTCAGCCTGTATGTCAGAGGGTCCCACGTATGGTATGCACAAGGTGTCTTGAAGGAGGAGCAGGTGTTCCACCATGCAGCAGGGTCGACAGTGGCACCCTCACTTGTTCATGAATTTTCACCGTATTTCAACACGCTGTGGTTTGTTTATGCCCAATTAAATAGATTGACAGATTATATTATCTTGTTTTACCTAAACTAACTCTGACAAAATGAACAAGTGGCTTAAAAAAAGACAATGCTGATAATGTGAGCACAAGCAAACAGCAAGAAAATGTCAGAACTAACACTTCTACTCCTACTACGAGCTCTTCATTACAAGGTAAAGACAATACCAACCTAACCAGATCTGACAAGAACTTGAGGGGGGTGGGGGGATAAATAAAGATTACCATGAAGACTATTTGAAATATAGTTTTACATCCACTACTGTTGATGATGCCCTCCGTGTATACTGTGCCTTGAGATAGTAGCTAATGATAGTATGAAGCCATCAAAATTGGCAAGTCATTTCAAATCTAAACATCCAGAACATGAAGACAAACCTCTACAATTTTTCCAGAGATGTTTCAAGTCATGCATTACTCAATCCAGTACTTTTCAAAACTTCACAAAAAATGTTTGCAAGCCTCTTCTGAGGCTTCTTACACAATAGTAAAAGACAAAAAGCCACATACCATTGGACCACTTGCTCTTCCTGTTTGTGAAAATAAACTCTTTTTATAAATTTCTGGAAGTGTAATGAAAGAGGAAAACACTTTAAGATTTATTGCCTTTCTGTGAGCTCTCTACTTAGGAACCCAAGAGTAAAATTACTCCCCTACAGGATGGTCATCAACATTTCTTTACCTGCAACGATCTCCGTAAGCACAGCATCCTCGCTGATAATACCTGCACACCATGGCAGACTGACTAGTGGAGAGGTCATGGGAGTAGCGACAGTTGTCTCCTTCCTTGCAAACTCCATGCATGAAGTATCTGTAAGACAGAAGATTACTGTGGATTAAGGAGAAGCACTGAAGCTGTAAACAAATTATTTGGATGATGAGTTTTTTCTTTAACTGAAGGTATGCTGAATTGCCACTAATGACTCTTAGGACCAGTATAAACATACAAATAAGAATGCCTAAGAACAGATGAAGCCTTAGCTATTCCAGTGAACTGCACTGCACATTTAGGGACTTACACTTACAAAAGGCTGAAAACAAACTGCAAAGCAAACCTTACCCTGGGCTATGTCACAGAGAGGAAAGTCTTGGACAAAGTAGATAGCAACAAAGTTTTACTTGCAGCTCCTGTGTTCCGACATCAACTAAAACCTTAGAGAAGCCCATGACTGAATCCAAGAATTAAAATCAGCTGCTCCCTAAACAAATTTCCTGAGGGGTTAAATCTATTTTGAATTTGTAACTAATTCAATCAGAATTAATTTCCTCTCCAAGAATGTAAAACATGTTTGTGACATATAATTACATCTGACAAAACACCCACATTAGTTTTTGCCATAGGAGGCAAATAATGAGTAGAAGCACCCTGCTTCAATACCGTGTTGCCCAGCCTGAAAGAATTGTACAGTTTCAAAGCTTTTGAGGACAGTTTACTAAATTTTAGCATGTAATGCAAGTTTATTTGAGCATCCTCAAATTCAGCTATTCAAGAAAACTGAACAGTTATTTTCAATTTGTTTTATGTTTTAACCTAGAAGACACAAGCTTCTTGAAATTCAAGACACTGCAACTATTCAGACTCAGTATGTTCACATCAAAACCACAACTGAAAATACAAGCTTAAGTACATCTTTCCCAATCCACGTAGAAGTATTAGCCAAGAAAAGAAAGAAAAACCCCAATACAAACCCCAAACCTACGCAAGAATTGAATCCATCAACATGTTTACCAACACTGCAATGTAGAAAGAGCCCCCAGATACCAAGTAGCTTGCAAACTCTTAACTCACTGGAAATATCAAGACCTGATAAACAAGAAAATTTGTTAGGGTTTAGGTGTCATACAAAACACCACTTGAGGGAAGACTGAGAAATAGATTATACCCTTCTAAGCCCATCTTGCTACTGTAAGGGGCAGTCCTGCCCTCCTCCTGTTGCACACTTCCACCATTTGTATTGGTATTACCACACCACACCTACACAGCCAGCAGAACCAGGTCCTCCAACCAGCTGACTGCACAGCCACCCAGCAGTACAGCCAGCACAAGAGACAAAAGGATCATCTTTCAATAGCCCAAACTAAGATTAGGATAGCTCTTCACAAAGCAGCACATTCAAATCTATATTCCTAAACTTAGAAGGTGTCAAGTTGTTGAATTGCATGAACTTCTGCATAGGTACACTTAAGTCTGCTGTATTTTTAAGAAGTCAGGTAAATCAAAGTGAACAATTCACCAAATGACATAAGCAGAGCTACATTTGTAATCCAGTACTAGGGATATATTAAAACCTGAGGTGAGTCTCAAGAGGGCTAACAACTCCCCTCCATATGTGGTATACTCAAGGTACTAAGAACAAAAAAAATCTAAAGTGATTTTATAAACCACCAGCAGACACTTGCCATCAGGCTGCAATTCACACTCAAAACAATCACCTGCCTGTACACTGTGGCCACATAGTAACCAGATAAGAAATGTGGCCCTACAGAAAAATAAGTGGTGTAAGACCAAGATGAGGCCCTGCAAGGTATTCTCCCCAGAGAGATGAGTACCCTAGTCAGGTTTGCCAGGTGGCTGCACAAGCAGCTACGCCAGCACACACCAGGAATAGGGTGTCACACACGCACACCCCAAAACCCCACAATGCATAACCAGCACTCTCCACTGTGAGAAGGAAAAAAAAAAAAAAAAAAAAAAAACACCACCAAAAACCCCACCACACACAACACCACAACCCACCCACAAACAATCCCACCTCAAAGCAAAAAAAACCCCAACAACCCACAAACTTGTGGAACCAGAACATAACTGGAATTTCTGGCTTGGTTTTAAGAAATGGGAGTCACACCAATAGGGTAAAACAATAATTCAGGTTGTTAAACATTTGCTCTTTAACAACTGTTATCTCCACCCTTTGCTTATTTCCACACAGCACTGCTTCCCCATGTGCTGGGGCATGCAATTTCATAGCCACCTGCTGACTCATATCAGGAAACTGCTTCAGATGTAACCTGAAATTCCTTTTGCTGCCCCCATGGTTATTTTTAATCTAGATCAGATCACTGCTCAGCCCCACTGCACAGCCACACTGCTGCTACTTAGGCAAACAAAGTGTTGAGACACCATTATGGCTGACATAAGTGACTAAGAGCAAGGCACCACCCTGAAGTAAGGACTTCTGTTAGAAAGTACTTGGTCAACATAACTTATCCTAAATACATAAGCCTCAAAATTAAGCTCTCCCACTGCTTGTTAGACAGAGGAAGTGGCATTCCAAGTCCCTTTCCTTCTTTCCCAGCTTATGCTAGAAAATTCTCTGCAAATACAGATGTCTATATAATTCTGAAAGTTGTCGATTCATACCATCAAGATGGTAGGCTATAAAGGGGTGAAAAAAAAATCTGAAACATTCACAAGCTTAATTCAATTCACATGTCACTTTTAAAGGCCTGCAATCCTACGCAGCAAACTCAGCATCATTTGAACAAGAAGGTTGGGGTGGGAGGAGAGAAAAAAAAAATGTATTTCTCTAAGGATTACACCAACTTCCTCTCCCCCTTCTCCTCCCCCAAGGGGTAAGATTTTTATTTAAGGTCACAAAGAATTTAACATTTTACATACGAAATTGTGGTGTTTGGCTAAAATATGCTTTGGTCATGTTGAAAAATAAACAGAGTGCATTATTTTTTGGTGAAAGATAGCAAAACTTGCTGGAGAGCATCTTTACACAGACAGGGTATTCAGTTTAACTGTAACTTTACACAACAGCAATACCAGGCTCTTGTTTCTGGTCACAGGGAAAAAGAATCCTTAAAACTGAGAAACACATGAGTTACCTGCCTCACTCGGTGACACATAGAAGGATATCTGAAATTTGCATTCTGTCAAGTAGTCAGAGAATACAACTAATTTCAGCTGAAAAAAGTAAAACCAGATCAAGACAAGTACATAACTGGATTTTCTCTGAGTGTCTATGATGCTGTCATGCAAAAAGCACTTATTCTGGCAGCAGTGCTCTCGGGCTTTCCTTTTCAGATATACTAGCATAATTTGGTGAGGCTGCATGGGGAACCAGACCAGAGGGGTCCAAACCCAGATCATCTCCCCAGTTCGGTTGCTTGCATGACTGTACAAAACACTGGCAATACCAACACACGGAATAACCACCCAGAAGTAGTAATCGCCTGCACTGGCATTTCACCACTGAAAAATGTTTCAACTTGCATCTAGTTACAGATGCCTTGATCAAAATAGCATATCCTGATTTTCATGGGGTACTTAAAAAAAAAAAAGGCCACAGAAATCAGGCTTCGCAAATCTAAAGTCTCAAGTTGTAGACAAGATCCAGAGGGCATTTTGTGGAAACGTATAGAGAAAACACTTGTCCAAGGCCACAAAGCTATTCATGCCTCCAACTCCAGAGAGGCCAGATGTTACAAGTGCTACAGTTAATTTACTAGAGTACTTAAAATTTTAGTTTAAAAGTTTATCCATATTTCAACAACCTTGATTTCCATGGTGGTTTAAAGCATAATAATCTACTTCAATAGTAGATTATAAAATTAATAATAATAATGGTTTTGTTTTCCACTGCTAGAATAATACTGCTTCTATTACTTGTCATAAATTAGAGAAAGAGAATTTGCAATGCCTTTATCAAAAAGACAATGCAGTGTTAAACACTACAACTGCAGTCTTAAAATCCTGAACATGTACCAGCTTCTTTCAGATGCTTCCTTCTAGTCAAGCTTCTGAAGCATGCAACAGATTTGCTTATTCAGGTAGGGCTGGTTCTTTACTTCAGGTCCACTTAATTCTGCTTTCAGGTAACCGCATTTTGTTTATTAAACTACTGGTTTTGCTGAATTAGAATGTCACACACAAAACCAGACCTCCTTCAAAAACTGTGACATTGTCATGACTGGCAGGCGGGGAACCTCAGGATAAGAGCCAACTGCATTCATTAGCTTCTTCAGGTGCCATACAGAGACTGAGAATTCCCAGAGAAGAAGGTAGCGGGGAAGAGGCCAGGCACGCTCTTCTAGCACAGCACGTGGGCGTGCAGCCACGTGAGTGGCTGATGAAATTCTACATGAGTTAGTAATCTTAAGAAAAAGGAAGAGAAAAAGAAGAAAAAGTAGGTCTATTAGTAGGTATAAATGCTATTAGGCATTTATGTCCTTGTCCTTTCTTCTCCATAACCTCCTTCAGCAAGAAGGTAGTGGGGGATCCAGAACAGAGCAGCTAAGAAAAGGGACATGCAAGCAGGATATTAAGAGGTTTGCACTCCACATCTTATCACTAGTGTTGCAATGAATCCAGGAAGCATACTTTACCAATTCAGGTTTTTCACATTAAAAAGACAGATAAATACCTGATCTAGCTTTTCAGAAACAACAGCAAAGACACAAACATGTAGACAACTCTGCAAATACACCGATTAGTTGCTAAGGGTTTTATTTATGTTCAGTTATTAAACAAACAAGTGAAATGTAATCTATTTACGTCAACTTGATGACCTTAGCTATTATTGCGTGACATCTGGAAAACACAAATAGCTAGAGCTACAGTGTCAAGCCTTTGGAAAAAAACCACATTGGCTACACTATTGCTCAATACAACCATGTATCCATCTGAAACTGGAAGGACAGAGAAGCTTGGTTAGGACCACCATTCTTTTTCTTATTTCAAATGTATCGATAACAAATGGATAAGAATATTAAATAAAAAGTTGTTGTTAATTACAATTTTACTCCCCTGCATCTTATTCCAGATTAAAATATTATAAATTATTACACTCCACAAAAGCCTTGAAAACTGCTAACCCATAGAAGCAATGTAAGAAAGTTATTTTTCATCTCTTAAAGAACATGATGAACTCCTACATTTCACCCTGAGACTTCTAAACTTTAGCTGCAAGAAAAGCAGAAGGGTAACATCTGCAAAACTAGATGTGTAGGAAAAAAAAAAAAAAAAATCAAAGTCCTTCATCTTGGTCATTGTCTCTCACTCTGAGAAATCAATCATCCATCCCAAGGATATCACACTGGCATAATAATACTCATTAGCCAACCAATTTATCATGTTGAAAAGAACAGCAAGAACTTACTCTACCAATTCTAAAACTTCCAGTTCTGATAAGGCTAGTGAAGGAATACTGGTTTTAAGTGCAAAGTCCTTACACTATCTCCCAGAAGTTTTTCAGGTAGCATTTACTGTCACCCATGTGATGATTCAAGTAAATAAAGCCTATAACAAACAGAATTGTGCAGTGCTACTCAAAATGGAAATCGCTCTACCTACTCTATTAAAAACCTGCATTTCAAAATTCAACCCTTTCATCTCACAGTTAAATCCCCAAGCTATTTTATGATGGTAAAACAAGATTTAATAGCAAGGAGTATATTTTCTTGAACATCAATAAATCCTGTTGAAAGCAAACTTAGAAAAACAAAATTATTATCACACATTCCCAGAAGCTCAAATCGAAATTGTCAATTTAAAGTCTGAAGAAAGCTAGTCGGCCTACAACCGGAATGGCCCACTAAAAATAAACACGTGAATAAGCAAGCAAGCAATGGGGTAACTGGGAGGATCAGTCAGAAAGAACAAAGAACAGGGAGGTTCGTCAGGTCTAAAGCCAAGATCTCATTTTTGTTTAAGCTCACATTAAAGCACATTAACCGTTACAAAAGAGTAGTTTTAACTTCTGACTAGTCTTGAGTGTTTGTAACTAAATACGTTCAGTAGGCAGACTCACTGCACTGCATGACACCGATGAACTTGACTGCTTCTGCACTACGGCAGTCACTGCCTTCGATAAATTGATTGATTGTGTCTGTTACCTCAGAAAATATAGGTATCTCTCTCTCTCTCACCACTCCATTTCACCTAATTGAACCTTTCGATCTTCAGAAATAATGAGGCAATCTACATTAGAGGGAACACTAACCTATACCCTTGCAGTTCGCTTAAAAGCTGAGCTAAGCACCGTTCCCGAGCATTTCCTCATCACCGGCCTACGTTTAACTACCATGCATCAAATATTAACCCGGCTATTCACAGGCAAAACTCTTTGTATGCAGCAGTCGTCAGAGAGAGAGGAGAAACAGTGCTTCTCAAATGGACACGTTAACAGTGCGTTAACAAAAATAAACGGTGATCAACAGTTAACAGGACTGCTTTAAATACTGCAGGGCATATTTAACAGCACAGAAGAGACGCAGCAAGCAAGCTCCCTGTGAAAGCCAAGCAACGGTTCTTTATACTCGTATTTGAATCTGCAATTGGCAGAAAAGGAAAAATATGCAGAAAAGATATCACATAAAAATCTGGAGCCTCTTCCTTTCTGCCCAAAGGATGTCCCGTTTTGCTTCCAAGTGACATGGAATGTATTTACCCAGAAACATACTCAGGTTAAAGGTAATTTACATTTAAATAAAAAAATAAAAATAATAGTTAAAAAAAAAATCAGGAGATGCCCCTTGACGATAATCTTGAATTACCACCTGCTTTCATATAAACCGACTAATATATTTCTATGTTCACAGAAACGGGTTTATATTCCTTTCAGTCTGCAAGGAGGCCAGCAGTGCAAGTTTAAAAATAGTCCACCTGGCAAGCTTTACAACACGCAGCATGACTTGCATAATCCTATACAAAAGATTTCTCAGCAATACAGTTTAAAGGAAAATGCAAATAGAAAATGACACAGCATACAGAATCTTAACGTGGCACAAGCAGCAGCACTTTTACATTTTGCAGTCTACCGTGACTTATTCCCCTTCCCTAGTTTAATAAATAATTGTTGCTACATCCACCGCGAATCCACTTCCGTTTTAAGATTTTTATTCAAATGGACAAGAACTCCAATGATTTTGTATTTCCGGCTTTATCGCGTTTTCTGGAACGCGGTTCCAGGACTTGCATTCCACGGACTCCTTCACACCCCTCCCTGCGGGCATACTTCCACACACTAACTAGTGACCCACGGCACCTCACAAGGAGCAAGCAACGCTCCCAACCCC